CCATCACCTCTGTTTTCCTGGCTCTAAGAATAGATACCACTAAGTATATAACCAATACTGATTCAATTCTTAAAAGGAGAAGACAGAGAATGAATAGCGCAAAATGCAAGAAGCTTCACAAAGTACAACTCTGCCATTGTGGAAAAAACTAGTGTGGGGGCAGGTTAACTTACATGGAAATATAGTTCAATAGTTTATTATCTGCTGGACCAATGCTTCTTACTTCTTGTTTGCTCTTCCATTCAGAAGAAGCAAAGAAGCAAAAGCAAGAGATAAAAACAGTAGTCTACTAGACTATAAACTGTTCTTAGAGACTACTAGAAAAATTAAATATCCATTCACTCCCCCAAATTGTTCATCATTAAATGTAAGTCCCAGAGCGCCTGGGTGGCTCAGTCCCTTAAGTGTCTGCCTTTGGCTCAGGTCATGATTCCACAGTCCTGGGATCGAGCCCCCCATGGAGCTCCCTGCCCAGCGGGGAGTCTGCTCCCCCTAACTGTGCTCTCTCTCTGTCAAATAAATAAATAAAATCTTTTTTTTTTAAATGCCAGTCCAAAGATCCTACTAGAAAACTACAGAATGTTTTAATATGAGTGCATGTTCAAAGGTGTTTTCTAAGTCACCTAGCTCTTCTAAAGTTGTACTTCATATTTCCTGTCTCTTGGTTCAACAATTTATTGAACATCTACAATAGACTTACAATATTCTTGGTGATTTATTGAACATCTACAATAGGCTTACGATATTCTTGACACTGGAGATGTAGGTAAGCTACAAATGGTCTCTGATCATGAGGAGCTCAAAATGAGATTGGGAAGAAGCTACTGTACATGTAATTTTAATAAAACGTGGTTGGTCTGACAGCGAAAAAACACTTGGGATGTTGTTGGAGCACAGAGTGGAAACATAGAAGAGAACACAGAAGGTTTCCTAGAAGAAATGATGTCCCAAATGAGTCCTTAAGAAAAAGAGGCATTTAGCCAGCGGGAGGGATATTATAGGCAGGAAGAGGAGGAAATGCCTAAGGCAGAGAAGCCTGAACTAGCGTGCCAGGCACTGCCTAGGAGTGGGGGTGGCTAGGAACTCCAAGTAACATTGCATTTCTGAAGACTAGATCAGAGACAAAGAGTAAAATCAAGACCCTATGTGACATCCTGGCCTGTAGGTGCCCAGAGGCCACTAAAGTGTCCAACTAGAAACAAGATACAGGCAGATTCGGATTTTCGATTCACTGTTCTGACAATTTTCCAGCGCAAGATGGCATCTCAGAAAGCGACAGGAAGCACAGGCCAGCAACCAGGCTGTAGGATTCCTGTAGCCTTGATTCTCTGGAGTCACTGTTAGGAACATAACTATTCCTGAATGTCCACTAGAGAACCCTTCTGGGGATGTCATGAGCTCCCTGAATCCAGGGAGCCCTTGGGAAACTCAAGTGCTTGACTAGTTCAAGGCCTCTACGCCTGCGAGCCTCTAGAATCCCAGACTGCCTTAGATGATGGAGGTTGCAGAACAAGCTGTCTCTGACAGACAGCAAGGTGTAGGTGGGCAAGCAGATATCCTCCTCCATCAAAGTTTGCTTTGTTAAGTCAAGATCTGGAACAGAAGCTACTAGTAAACAGCGGAACAGAACCTGTCAAATATATGTTAATTAAGCTGAATTTGTACTTAAGTATACTAACAAACAGAAGAACTCCGGATACCACAGACTTCTGTTGACTTCATTTTCCCTAATTTGCCATATTAAAAAAAAACAAAAACAAAAACAAAAAAACAAAAAGAAAAATAACACTGTGCTTGCCAGCTAACAGGACACTTCAGTAAATACGATGCAGTCACCCAGTTCTGACTAGGCCACATTTCTTGCCAGCCTTACAGGCTTCCTTAGGTTACCTCAGGAGAACCCAGGGGCTATCGTCCCACAAGTCACAGGATTTTCTGTCAGACTTTAGCTCATTCTTCCCCCAATCCTCTCAACCATTCTACATACGTCCCCAGCCTGAATGACTCCCAGCAAGTGCTAATGTATAAACCTCCAGATCAGTGAGTATCATTTATTCCTATCAACTGAAGGTCCCGGGCCTTACCCCACATGTAGCCCTGCCTCTCCACTTTGCCTTGTCTTCACCTTTCTATTTTTACCACCGGAAAAAGCCAACACTGAGCATTCCTTCCCAATACCTCTTCGCTAAAACGTTCTTTTCCTTTGTTACCAAAACCTTCCTTTCCTATAGTCAAGCTAGCCAAATCTCACTTCCTCCATTTCCCAAGCCATTTTCACAGATAATAGTCCCTTCCTTTGACTTAATTCCCATAATCACTATTATTCATTTTCTAATAATGTATCTGGCCTCGTCATCCAAATTAGCACATACATTCTTTAAAAGCCCAGACCAAGGCTGACACATCCCCCTGTCCCACTGGTGCAGCCTACAATGATGAACCCATAGCTGGGGCTAGTAAACCTCCATTTAACAATAATGGTGTTGACATGCACGTGCATTTCTTGAACCAGTATTTTTATTCATAAAGGTAACCAAAAGAGCCTTTCTTGGAAGCAGACAGAGACTTCGGGAAATTTGCAGATTTATTTAAAAGGAAAAACCAGGGGCACCTGGGTGGCTCATTGGTTGGGCCTCTGCCTTTAGCTCAGGTCATGATCTCAGGGTCCTGGGATCGAGCCCCGCATGGGGCTCTCTGCTCAGCGGGGAGCCTGCTTCCCCCCTCTCTCTCTGCCTGCCTCTCTGCCTACTTGTGATCTCTCTCTCTCTCTGTCAAATAAATAAATAAAATATTTAAAAATAAAAAAAAAATAAAAAAATAAAAGGAAAAACCAAGTCTAAAGAGGTAAGCAAGTTAAAGAAATGACTGAAAGAGGAATAAGACCAAGAGTGTCCCCACTTTATGAAAAGAAGTATTTAATAACTAGACACTATTCCCTCTGACAAAGTTATCCTTACCCTGAACTCAGTATTTTCCTGTACTCAACAAAGGGTGCCATGCTTCAGATCACCCAAAATGTTGGATGATGCTGAAGTCATTCATAATGGATATGGAAATGAGTAATCTGATTATGGAACCAATATTTACTCCTTCACCAGTGGGAAAGTGTATTTACACATTCTTGAAGTAAGACTCTCCAACACTCCAGCAGGTTTGGAGAAAGCTTGCCCAGGGTGGAATCTGACAGGGCAAATGATCCATCTGCATAAAATCAAGAGGTCGATGATATTTCCTGTCTTTGAAGACTGGTGCAGAATACTAAATGGATCACTCACAGATTCCCCATCAGGTATGCTTACAACAAAAGTATTTTTACACAAATAAATAAAATGGGCCCAGAGCCAAGAATGCGAATTAGAATGATGGACTTTTTCAGCCAAATGAAACGACTGAGGCTGAAAGTATTCTCAATATTAAACGTCTAGCTGCGTACTCCTACCAGTTAAAAAAAATGAGCACAAATAATTATTAGATACATTAATAAATGTACACATACTAATATGTGACTATATTACATACTTAATAAACCCTAAATAGAAATTTTCAAAAGATAAAGATAAAAACAGGCCTTCTAAAATACTCTTCCTATACCCAATGGACTAAAGGGCACATCCCTTAGGGTTCACAACCCCACTTTGGAACCAGCAAATTAAAAAACTTATAAAAGTACAAAGTCAAAGATAATTGCTCTAATTATCTGGAAAACTCCTGAATTACTTTCCTCCCTTTACTGAAGCAGATGTGTCCTTAAAATCCAGAGCAGACCCATTAAGATTCTAATAGCAAAATGTCAGAAAATGGGAAATGCATAAAAAGTCTTGGAAGCTTTACACTAGTGACAAGAAGCTACAAAGTGTAAGTGACCCAGAAGCAGAATTGATTTTGTTTTTGATCTAAACTGTGTCCCCCATAATTGCTGTGATTTGCAGGCTCAGTGCTTTAACCCCTCTGCTGTTTGCGGCCACAGGAAGGAACTGGGTAGTCATTAAAAAACTGTCACATAAATAGCCACTTACCAGCTCACCTAGGGAGTGTAATGTTAGACAAGTAGTAAAGAAGACCAATTTTATTTATTTTACTACTTGTAAACTCCCTGAGGAAAGTGGTGAGCTGATAAATTTTCTGAACATTGAACCTGTAATTATCTATACAAGCGGATCAGAGTTACAGAGAAGTCAAACTGAATAATCAAAAAAACTTTTATAATCAGCTTTGTAATAAATTCAGATACCGCCAGGCATCTTCTTTCCTTAAATTATGCAGGGACCACCAGCCGGAAAAGTGGTAGAGCACAAAGGTCAAATACATCAGCCAAGGGACCAAGATCCACTATGTACTTGCTTGGAAACTCACTATCTGTATAACCTCAAGAGAGTTAACTCCACCTCTCTAATCCTCCATTCCCTCATCTGTAAAATGAGGAAGCTGACACTAACGGCCTTATGGGTTTGTGGAGAAGAGTAAATGACATAAGGCTTTGAAGTACTCAGCACAGCACTTGGTAAATATTTAATAAATATGTATTTTAGCACTGTTACAGTGTAAGGACTAGGTGGAAATCACCAGGGAGGAGGGAAAGAGGGTCTAATCCTGGTCAAGTCTATTGCCAACATGATGTCCAAGCTCCTTTCAGGTCAACGACTGTTCTTCCAAAAATATCTGAGGAATATACATGTTCCCTAATTGCTTTTATGGAAACCATGGTTTTCAACTAGATCCCTACTGAAGAAAGGAAAGGGGCGGGGGGGGGAGGAAGGGAGGGAGGAAGGAAGGAAGGAAGGAAGGAAGGAAGGAATGGGAGGAGGGAAGGAGGAAGGATGGAAGGAAGAAAGGAAGAAAGAAAGAGAGAGAGTTGCTTTTCTTCCTACCTGCAAAGGTTTTGCTCTCTCTGTTTCTGGAAGCCCAGTCACCCATCACAGAGGTAGGAAAGCCCTGGTTCAACGGGACAGAGGACTCATGGGCTACCTAGACCAGCAGAGAAAGGGCGGCTAATACATTACCTGTGCCCAGTGGTTTTTAAATACAATCATGCATGTTTCTGGGTCTACTCCCTGCAGGCTCACGGCCTGCTGGAGTTTGTTTTCCGTCGTAACTGATGACATCATAAGCCTTCATAAATCAGTGCTTCTAAGTCATATTTAACTTTCAGGAAAATTTGGCAAGCAGTCACTAACTTTCAAGTATCACATAAGAAATGTAACTTCTTCACATTTCACTGTCATCTTCTGAAACCTGTAATGACAGTAACAAAAATGCATCTCGTTATGTTCATATATTAAATAGGACACTGGCCGTTAAATTTAAATCAGAACATAGACATTCTCAAAGTCTAACACAGAACAAAAATATCTACAAAATAGACATTTCTACCCATTCTTATTTACTCTTACCTTGCTACTAAAAATATTTTTTTAAAAATGCTACCAAAGCTACACACATAAATTAAACAATTATTGGGTTTATTTTCTTCACTACCACCAACCAAACCCTCTAGACAGTAAGTCTAATCGTTCAAATCTAGTTTCTATAACGAAGCAAGAAACTATGATACCAATGTCTGTGGAATTTAAAAACATCCAGAAACAGGAAAGCCATTAGTTAATAGTGACAGAAATAAATGCCATAATGCAACTTGGGGTAGTTCTAAAACAGCACCCAGACTCCTGGGTCCAATATGATTGAATTTTTTTTTTTTTTAAATCAATGGCTGTCATCATGGAATCGAAAGCATTCTCAGTCATTTCATAGCTACAAACCAAGTTAAGGTTTCTGGCTTTTCCAAAAAATAATAGAATTCCAAGTAACCTTGACAAATCAGAGATAGAAATGATCCATCAAAAAACAAGATAGTGCTTCCTCAGTGAGAGTACAAGGTAGCACACTTACAAATGGAAAATGAATTATGTGGATAAAATATGAAGAGAGTCCGACTACCAAAGAGCCAGGAGGGAGCAAAAAGATATTGGTCACAGAGCATACAGCAAATAGGATCCAGCTGCATGGAGCTAACTCACAGAGAGAAGCAGCAATATAGGCCCAGTATCTCCCCAGTTTGGTCAGCTCACAGAAAGGATGGGGTCTGGTTCAAAAAACTATTTTTTTGAGTGTACAGACTGGAGAGAGTTTGAGGTACATTGATCACATGATAATTATTAGTGCATTGGAAAACAAAATCCACGATAAAATTTCCAGACTTGTAGTACAAAAAAAAAACAAAACAAACAAACAAAAAAACCCCAGCAATTTTTCACCCGAGTAATATGAAGGGTATTATGAGGAGAATACCAGTCAACTGCTCCTCCTACAAACAATAAAATGTGAGAAAGGGGGTTGAAGGTGAGGATTTAGGTTAGATTTCTGGGTCAAGTTCTTTGTAGGGAGTGAAATTAAACACTAGAAAGTTGTTAAGGCATATTTTCTTGGGAATGGGAGGCTAACCATTCAACATTCATATCTTGAAAGAAATGGTAGAACATAAGAATAGAAAACTGGCTAGAATTGATCATTCTGAGGAAGGGAAACATTTTTTAGGGAGAATGAAAGAGGATTAATGTATGTAGAAAGAGGAAAGTCTCTTTGAAGAAGGCTCACACAAATCACATACCTGAGGAAAACAGCTAATGTGTATCTTCTATGACTATATATTATTATTATTCAAATTGGTGGATTCCCTGACATGTAATTCCTAATAATCCAAATTTATTGTTCTCAATAGGAGACTGTCCATTGCCAACAATGGCTCTTTGTCACTGAGAGGCATGTTTTACTGGGCCCATCGGTATTTTAAGACCCAGAAGTGGCCTCCCCACACACACAGGGTACGTGCTTCCCATCTCTGAGGTCCTGGCACCTCCCTAGGATCCTACAGCCAGCCCCTTCACCTCACACAGGCTGGTCTTTGAAGGTAACATTTCAGCAGGCAACCCTGTTTTAAGTGATAATAAATAAAACAAATTCTACTTCAACTCCCTCATTGTCTAAAACATAGTATTTCTGTGAAAATGCTTTTATTCAGAGGATACAATGATAATAATGAGGAAACTCAGAGTGTTTTGGTTTATCCCAGAGGTTCAAAAAGTACAAGACTCTTCAAGACTCATTCCAGCTCCAGGATTCTCAGATTCATCTTGAAACGTATGAGGGGAACATTCAACATGCCAACTGCTTCTAAATCAAAATTAGAAACGTGCTCTCTAAGGTCTGTGAAGCCCGTTCTCAAAGGGACTTTGCATGCAATCCTTGCAGAGAGCAAGACTTTATTACAGACAAGATAAATAACTTAGCTAAAATCACAAACTACCAGTTAGTTTTGATGGAAATGGAATGTCTCCTGATTCCCAGTCCAGGGTTCCTTCTAGAAATCTTTATTCTTTCTCCTGGCTATGATCCCTGGCCCTATTCCCTTAAGGAAGCTGTATCTTCTCTGAGAAAAGTGCATCTCACTTGAATGACGCTTTACCCGATCATACTCCTGAAACAGATGCCTGAAGAATATGGTAAGTCAAGCAAGCCACATTTAAGAAGGAAACACTATGCCAGAAGATTCTATAAATGAAAATACTTCCAAATATACCCAGAGACAAAAGCGCTGGATATTTCCACTCTCTTTCTCTCTTATTCCCCTGTTAGAGTATTCGAGCACTAGCATGTCTCCAGGGCAATATAAAACTACAAGAAAGAGAGGGCTCCATATTGATGAGAGACAACAGAAAGGCGCCTTTCCTCAAGCGCCAGAGTTTCTAATACATTTCTGCATTCGCCTGTTATCAGGCTTTACTTTCTTCCTTTTTGCATTTTTCCACTCCAAGCTTTTTATTTAACTCTCAGAGCACAGTTAAAGTCTCCGGTGAAGCACAGAGCAGGACAAAACTTAGCAAAAAGCCAGGAGCAAGTAGAAGAGGCTGCTGTCACCAGAACATGGGCTTGCATCATGAGTATGGCATTGATGGACATTTCCCCCTTCCTGCCCTCTGCTCTCTTCAGCCTATGGTACCTGGAGGTGGGGACTGCTCAGAGGAACACTCCTGCCACATACTCAGCCCATTCTTCCTGGAAATACCCACCACATGCACACCAACTTGAATTTCATGCCCGGGAAAGAGCTCTGTAAACCATTCGGAGGGATTTTGTTTTCTTCAAATGAACCGCCAATCCTGAAAAATACCCAAAGGACTCTGTCCAACAGTGGTTGCCTATGGTTTTGTGGTGTGGATGCTGAGGGGTTTTTTTTTTTTTTTGGCATGGCAGGGGGAGGAGCTATCAAAACACATGTATACACCGGCACAGATTTTATACCTCAAAGACAGAACTATTGAGTAGTCAAATTTATATATTTCATTAATAATATATACAAAAATATTTTCATCAGTAAGGAAAGAAAAATGTTATTAAATCATCATTGGAGATAGAGATAACTGACATAAGAATTATAGGTATTCTTATTTGCCTTTTTCAAGAAAGTACATTGTATCTTTTGACTATGAAAAAAAGCACATGCATATGCTTCCATATCACAGGGTTATAAAATATACTATAAAATCATAAAAGCTTAGATTCTAGTCATCTAGATTATACCCTTTCTACCATAAAAATTCCTTCAACCTCATTTCCAAATAGACAGACATCTTTACCTAATTTCAGCCTCCTTTGAAAACTACAATACTTAGGAAAGCTATAAATGTGTGAAAATCACATTTTTTCCCCTGAACTACAAATGACTATATTTTAATATACCCCTCTTTCACTAGCATACTGAAATTACAGTGTAAACATTTTGGCATTTAACAATATATGATCTCATACCATCTTTCTTTTATCCATTTAAATATAATATCCTCTAATAATGGATTATAAAAAGTTCTTTAAACTTTTAAAAGAAAAGACCATTTAAAAGAAATAATGGTCACCTTAAGGGGACACAGAGCCAAGGGAACATTTTTATTAAGGAAAAAGTGATATTTGCAGGCCTAATGGGAAGGAACCAATGAACACAGAGAATTTGAAGATAGACTGATTGATTATTGTTGGGTTTTGGTTTTGTTTTGTTTTTTTTTTTGTTTGTTTTTTTTTTGTTTTTTTTTAAGGATTTTAGTAGAGCAATTAGAGCAGAGGAAAGGCAAGGTCAGTAACACAGCATGAGAAGCCTAGAGATGAAAAAGAAGCCATGTGGAGTCTTTTGGAGTCTTTCCATAGCGAGTTGCCAGATGAGAAGTAATCTCTTGAACCTGATGAAAAGACATGGCAGGCTCCCTTCCCATTTCTCCTTCTTCCCTCCTCATATTTCTCTAGTTGGTTTGTAGAAATGGTTCGAGAGATTAGGTGGATTTAAAGTGGAGAACAAAGGGTGAGGGCTAAGAGCTTTTAGCTCAGTTGTCCAAGTGTGGAAGTCAGTAAACGTCAAGTGGCCTCTTGGGGACTTGAGCTCTGAACTGGGACACGGCCCCAGGACTACCCAGCAGTGAGACCTTGAGTGGAAAACAGGGATCTTGATTTGGAACCTCTTAGGTGGGTTAGGACTACATGTTTATCTCTCAGGTCTCCCCCAGCTCAAAAGTCATGATTTTATGTACTTTATTCCAAGTGATATACTAAGTGGGGAGAGGTAAGAAGATAAGCTTTGAAGAAGGATAATGGCCACTGTACAAAAGTTCTTTGTAAGAATTCCAGTTATAAATGGATTCGATCTGTATTCTTTTTAACAATTAAAGCATATTTCACTTAAAGAACCCAAAGCACAGGAATCAACCATCTCAAATATAATTCAGTTTGTTTGTTTTTTGCCAGTAGAAGAACTCATTGTTTTAGAATGCATTTTCGAATGCCCTGAATCGGCCGCTACCAAATACATAAAAAGTTGATTACTGTAAATGTGCTTATCATGTAAAATTCCATCTGGGGTGAAGACTCTTCAAATATTGGGAACACCTAAAGAGAGAGGAAATTTCTGCCCTCAATTACAAGTAATAGCAATGGGGAGAGGGGGATTCAGTGTGGGTCAAACTACCTCAGACAACCTCTGCTTAGAGCCTAATAAAATCCTATTAAATCTAAATCCTCCCTGTGCTGTAATCCTCTGGCCCAGTTTCCTTTTCTCTCTCGCTGTCATATCACATAGCAATTCTGGACTGTGAAAAATAAAGCAAGCATCCAACAGCCCCTGACTTTCCCGGACCTTGTCCTAGGGCTCCCTCAACCTGCCATAGTTTTTGACTCTGGCTCATTCGTCGAAGACC